TAAAATATAATTATACATATCAAATATAAAAATTAATTGAATTAATTATATTGATATTATATTTTTAATAATTAAAAAAATATATTAAATTGAACTTAAATATGTAATAATCATTCCCTTCAAATAAAAGCTACATATCAAATCCTTGAAATAGTAGTAAGAAAGCAACATGCATAATGCACCCGATAATCATGAAGTTTCAAAGTTCAAGGCTAACTTTGTGTATATTTCAAAGTTTTCTTTGTTTTATTATTATTTTTTATTATAATTGATCATTATATTGAGCGAGATGGTGATTTTTTTTTTTTTTTTGGGATTTGTAGACACTATAAATTAAAATTTAAATCTATAATTGAAGGAAAAAAAAAAGTTCTGAACCTGTAATTGTGCGTACATGATTGATAATGACTTTGGACCTAAAACGACGATGAAACAAAGTCCTGTACCTAGCAACTTTATACAAAAAGTACGAAATTTGTGTTCTTTTATTTTTTATGGGAAGGGATTCGTCCTTTTTTATTCGTTTTTCATCACTCTAAAATCATGCCCACTATGGGAGTGCAGTGGCAGGCCTTGATTTCTTTGGCCTGACCTCGTGATAAATTTTATTTTATAATTTAAATTATAATATATAATAATATATTAATTATTAAATGAAGTAATTAGTATTTATTATAAAAGTTTTTTAATGATTTAATAGTTAATATTTTTTAATTTAATATAGTGTAAATTATCAAACGTTTTTTATATTTAACAAGAAAAATATTTATTGTAAATAGGTAATATTAATAGTTATTAGTTGTTTTAGATCTTACTTAATTATCAGGTCCATAATTTCTTCCATTTGCAACGTACAGAGCAACCCGTGAGCTGGTTGTTGTTTGCAAGCTGCATTGGGTTCGACACTTCGACCCAACTCGTTTGAGTATCTACAAGCTTCACTTCTGTAAACTCGATTGAGATACTTAGCTCAGCCTGTTTACAACTCCAATAATAATCGATCTTCCTGATGTGTTGTTCTCAACAAGTAATTGATATCAATCAAATTGTTACCAATACCAGTGAATTCATGTCGGTCTTATGTCGGCCAAAGACGAGGAATTTTCCTAATGCTGTTGTTGATTGTTGGCGCTGGATTATATGTACACACCTAATTTAGTAACGGTTGTGAAATTCATAGGTTTATGTTAGTATTATACCCCTAATTGTAAAGCTCTCCTGTACGGCTACGCGAAGGAAAATTATGTAGGTATAGTCATCTTTTCCTACAGTTTTTCATGTAAATATATTTTAACTTATATACTTACAAACTAGTAAAC